CAGTCAGTAAGTAACAAAACAAATTACAATAAAAATAAAAAGTATTGATTAGAAGGGTAATAAATAAATAAATATTTAAAAACCTGTCAGTTGCCACACATATTTAATATTGTCCCACGTGGTTTTGCCTTCCAGTCCTCGCGTGAAGACCTCGGGGGGCTAAAATTGACTGGAGACCTCAGAGACGAAAATACCTGAATTTATTTGTATTTTTTGATTCGGTTTCAGTTTTGCGGTTTAATTTTGTACTTTTTTGTGTGCGTTTCCGGTTGGGGGTGCTTATTTCCGTATTGGGATTTGTGTTTCTGTTTTCTGGTAGTGTTTTTCTGTTTTGGGTTTCCGTTTTGTCTTATGTGTTTCTGTTTTAGGTTTGTTCTCTCCTATTTCTGTTGTTGTTGTTGTCTTGTGGTTTTTTTGTTTCTATCGGCCACCCTATATATTTGATAGTCCTCTGCATTTAACATCCAACCATTGGAGAACACTTCAAAACTCCGTTGAAAATTTCTTCACAGATATCAAATCGTCCAGGTAAGAAATAATCTCCTTTAACTTGGAATTTGTCCAATCAGATATTTCTGCAAGGATTATTTTGATTTCCTGCTGTAGTTTTTTTCCCTCTCTTTTCTACTAAGAAGTAATTAATAATAAGTTTAGACCGGTTTGCGACCGCGAAGCAAAGTATGTTTGTTCCATGTTAAGCAAAACGTCCGACTAGAATATTGTTTTCATTGACCGATTTGTGTTTCTCTCCCTTCGTGGTCTCCCTTTTCCGCTACTCTCTTCCACTTCCTTTCCACCTCCCCCCCTCCCTCTAAACCCCCAACCCCTACCCTGCCTCGCACAAGCAACGCCGGAGTTATTCAGGATAATTTGTGTTAAACAACATTGTTAAATGTGGATCTCTCATGTTGTACATGTCTTAGATTTATAATAATTTTCATTTGTATGGCAAAAGCTAACGAAGAACGACCTCCTTTGTGCATAAATTTGTGAAACTAAGTCTTGCATCGATTAACAAGAAATTGAGGACACGAACTTATTTAGTCAAGACATCTTTCCTCAAACAGCTGCCTTTAAAATTTTTCAATGTTCATTGGGACTATGTGAATTGTACTGCCATGCAGAGAGGTTTTCAGGAAAATTACTATTTATAAATTAAATCGCCTTTATTTCTGCTCTATGTAAGGCAAACAATTTAAAATTTGTTGTGGTTTGCTAGTTTGTGGCCTCTCTGAAATTTGCATGTAATGTTATCGTCGCCGGGCAGCGGACTCATTTTTTGAACTTTGACTTATTATTATAAAAACACAAAACAATAAAAAACGTAAGAAGGATCAATTAAAACACGGGACTAATAAACGCTCAGAAGAAAACCAGACACGAGATACCGTTTTAAAAACTTTATTGAAAACCAATGACAAAAAGAGTCAAATACACAGCGGTTTGAAAGGAACGAAAAATTAATCCTCTTCTTCTTTCTCCTCTTTAGAGGAAAAATAAAAATTGGTTTTCAGAGTGAAAGGTGGTGGACGTTTCAAGGCTATTACTTTCTGTTTCGAATCCTGATTGTGGTCGTTTTCAGTGTCGTTGTAGCTCCCTTGGGAGTCAACTTCAACACCATTCTCAGAAGCCACTTCCTCCTCCTCTTCCCCCTCATCCTTCCCCTCCTAATTTTAAATATCCAATGAACTCTTATTATTATTACTCTCGTTATCGGAAGTATTTTCTGCATTTCGCTAGCCTTTTTCCTTTTCTATTAAATCGCTTCGCAACTTTTTGTTCTTGATTAAACCTTTATCGACTCCTAACTCTGCAAGTCCATCTAGAAACGTATTCAGCGCACGTGGGGGTAGCACATACTCAACAAGCTCGGCGATGTTTGTGACAGGAATTATATGTTTATTTCGAAGTAATTGTCCGCGAGGAGTCCAGAAATATTGTCTTATAACACCTATATTCAGAAATTGCCAAATAAAATTCCGGATAAGCGTCAGTTGGAGTAAATCTAGAGAGGAAGGAGTGGAAAGTTCTGTCATGTCTTATCTGTCTAATGGGAACATACAGTGTATTCTAAGACTTCAAATGTATTAATGAAAATTATTTTTGTTTTACTTCACCTCAACGCTCCTCAAAGAGACCTTACTCCCAAGAAACAGTTCCACTTTGAATACTAAAACTTGGAAATGGCAGAAAGAATACTACAAGATATAGCTGAAGAAAAAAGGCGTCTTACATCAGCGCAAATCAATAAAAACGCGAAAGAGAAAGCTAAAGCCTACCACAATCTAGGCAGAGCTTATGACTTCCTGGAGGACTTCCATCAAGCAATAGAGTACTACAAGCAATACCTCAGCATTGCTGAGGAAGTCGGTGATAGAGTAAATGCAGGATGGGCCTATGGCCATCTCGGCCGTGATTACGATTCCCTCGGTGACTCCCAAAGAGCAATAGAGTGCCATAATCAAAACCTCAGGATTGCAAAGGAAGTTGGTAACAGGGCAGACGAAGGATGTGCCTATGGCCGTCTCGGCCGTATTTATCACTCCCTCAACAAATTCCAACAAGCAATAGAGTGCCACAATAAACACCTCAGCATTGCCAAGGAAGTTGGTAACAGGGCATGTGAAGGTAATGCCTATTCCGAACTCGGCCTTACCTATATGCTTCTCAACCAATACCAACGAGCACTAGAGTACACCAATAAAGGCCTCATCATTGCCAAGGAAGTTGGTGACAGGGCAGGGCAAAGTGTAGACTATGGCAATCTCGGCACTATTTATCTCTGTCTCGAAGATTACCAACAAGCAACAGAGTGCACCAATAAAAGCTGCGTCATTGCCAAGGAAGTCGGTGACAGAAAAGAAAAACGAAGTCGCTATTTAAACATCGGCGATGTTCGTTACTGCCTCGGCGACGTGCCAGGAGCAATGGGGTACTACAAGCTAATCCTAAGCGATGCCGAGGAAATCGTTGACAGGGAATCACAAGGAATAGCCTATTGCAGCCTCGGAAATTGTTATAGAAATCTCCACGACTGGAAGGAAGCAATAGAGTGTTACAAGCAACACCTGAGCATTTCCGAGGAAATCGGTGACAGGATGGGAGAAGCATGTGCACATAAAGGTCTGGGTCACTCTTTTTTGGAATCACATTCTTTGAATGAGGCTTTAGAACATTTTAGATGCAGTGTTAAAATCTATGACACTCTTAGAGCCAGTTCTATCTCGGAAGATCAATTGAAAATAGGTTTCTGTAGGCATTATCAATGTGCCTATGCTCATTTATGGCAGGTTTTAGTAATGCTTCAAAGGAATGATGAGGCTTTATACGCTGCTGAGAGGGGACGGGCACAGGCTTTGCTCGATGCCTTAAAAGTAACTTATGACCTTACATCACTTTCTCCGAGGTCAATTGAATCTGAAGAAGACGTCAAATATCTTTCAATGAACACAACTGTTTTAACAGTTTTTCTTGCACTTCATTTGAACACAGTCAATATTTGGGTGTTGGGAAAAGATGGCAACCCCATTTTTAGGCAAGCGGAGATAGAAATTGGACGTGAACACGAAGATTCCTTTACTCTCCTTTTAGACACTGTTTTGAAAAACATTAGGGCTGGTGTCGGTATTAGGTGCGAAAATCGGTCAATGGATAAGCTGCGTGATGACTCAACTCCCTCAAGTACTCAAGACGACAATCAAACAGCGGATCCATCACAGGGGGGTATCGACTCTTTGCAGCCATTATATGATGCAGTTATTGGTCCCATTAAAGATTTGCTTGATGGTGATGAACTAATTGTAGTTCCTGACGGCGCTTTGTCTAAAGCTCCTTGGGCAGCCCTGAGTGAATCTTTAAGGATCCGCACTGTTCCCTCACTGACAAGTTTGAAAGTCATCACAGATTCTCCATGTGAATACCACAGTAAAAGTGGAGCCCTGCTTGTTGGAGAGCCATGCTTGAAGAAAATTACAGATAAACGGGGGAACCCCATTTATGATCCTCTGAAGTACGCAAGAATGGAAGTGGAGATGATTGGAGAAATTCTAAAGAGTCAAACTTTAACAGGTGAAGATGCAACCAAAGAAGCGGTACTTCAGAGAATCGCGTCAGTTGCTTTGGTTCACATCGCAGCCCACGGAAGGAAGGAAACTGGAGAAATTATTTTGGCTCCAGACCCCCGATGGGGATCCAAGACTCCTACGGAGGAGGACTATATTTTAAAAATGTCTGATATACAAGCTGTGAAGCTGACAGCAAGGCTAGTTGTGTTAAGTTGCTGCCATAGTGGTCAAGGACCGGTCTCGTCTGAGGGTGTGGTCGGTATGGCACGTGCTTTCTTGTTTGCTGGTGCTCGTTCCGTGCTGTCGACACTCTGGGCAATTGATGACGAAGCCACAATGATGTTTATGAAATCTTTCTATCAACAACTTGCAAGCGGAGAACGTGCAAGTGTTGCTCTTCAGAGGGCCATGAAATGTCTTCGAGACTCCCACGATTTTTCTGCCCCGAAGTACTGGGCTCCTTTTGTTCTGATGGGCGATGACGTTAAGATTGAATTGGAAAAAGAGTCATTCAGCAAGTCGTAAGTGGAGATTTTTTCTTGCTGTTCTAGTAACAAAAGGCTTAAGAAGAAAAGCCAGAACCATTCTTGTCAAATTCAGATAAGAGGAAAATGACAGACTTGATAATAAAAAGAATGAAAATATGTACAAAGTAAGGATGGGTTGGGTGGTAAGTGTTAAATTATTATGGATTCACTCAAGTAAATGTTATTCCTAACGGGCTACCAACACATTTCAAAAATCAATTGAACACTAGGCATTAATGTTCTCAATTGTTAAATAGTTTAGGTCAGGGTGGATAAAAGATATACATAGGAATAAGTTTCCTTCGTTTTCCTACAGGACTAGCACTATATGTAGAGAAATTCATAGCTTCATAACGAACAAATATGTCTAACATTCCAAATGTTTGTTTTCATTTTGCTGTTTTTCATATTATTATCCATGACATCCTAAAATTCAACGCGTTGACCTGTACTTTGTTTTTAAATGAAAGGTTAATTAATGAATCAATTGTTACTTTCTTTACAGGATGCGCTGAAAGTTTGATGTCAACGCAACTGCTGAAGTAGGGTGCATATAGCTGGATTTCCAAAGAAAGCAGTGCGTTATTTAATAGAGGAATGTCCTAAAAGAGAATTTTAGTAAAAACACGTGTTTTCATTTTTTTAATCAGCCATTTTTTCTCAGAAGATATTAGAGAGATATAGAGCCACGCCTACGGCAAAAGTTTGCAGACTCAAGTTGAGAATTGCTTAAAATGGCAAATATGCAGATAAAAACAGCTCAAAGCAATTCTTATGGATAAAGCTAACGTGAAACTAACCTTTTTTTTTGTGGATTCAATTAACAGAAAATAAGTAAAGAAAAAACTTGGTCACGTGGTACAAGTCTACGTTTACCGTAAACTTAACTCTAAATCTCTCTTAACATCAGAAAAACGTTTTAATCAAAGCGAATACAGTATACTGTGGAGCTCTATATTAGCGACGGCTACACTTATCAATTTTAACTTAAGAAAAAGACAATTTTCGTGGGGAAAGTACTTAATGTTGTTTTCAAGTATGTACTGTAACCATTTCGTGAATTCTGAACGTGAGTTTAGCGGGTCACTTCAGTAGTTTAAGGTCTGGGTTAAAAGGGTGTGTTTCATATGATTGACCCTCTCTTACCCAGAAATAGTATTTAAAAAAAAGGAATATGTTCATGTCTCGGGGATCCTTAATGTATAAATTGGCGGACAGTACAAACTGCAGTCTACAGACTATTGTTTTCAGGGTTAGAAACAATGGAACTATTGTTGTCACGTTGTCATTTGCATGGTAAAAACTGTGGTTTGCAGCAGTCTACAGTCTGCATTTTGTATTGACGGTATAAATTGGGACACACATTGTGTCACTTAATTAAAAATGGGAAAATGGGATTTCAGGGCCGAGTTTAACTTGTATGGATAAATTATTAGCGTTTCATACAAAGAGTAAATTGTTTGCCTTCCATGTTTGGGATTGAATATGCTCTAAGCTTTTACAGTAAGTTTTGGACGAATACTGAATTGCTTGTGCAGAGACAAGAGCGAGCGACTGCTGGCGAATTGCATCGTCTGGGAATCATCAGAGTAACTTTTGCCTTGTTTTAATAACCTTTTTTCTAGAAAAGCGTTGTGAGATAGTCCCTCTCGGTATGCAAAGAAGGGCAAAGGGGTCAGAAATGTAATTTTCATCCATAAACAAGATTTATTTCCCTTCTCTTTTTTTCCACCACCACTTCCTTGTAGAGCTGAATGTCAATCCGCCTCTGTCTCTGCATTTGTAGACTGTTTCTTCTGCTATTAAACTAGGGTTAAATCTTAATCTTGTTTCTTATTTAAATACTGCGAGTCAATTCAATCATATATTGAAACTTTTACGTGTGTACCATTGCGTACGTGGTCCAATAGCTGTAATTGATGTCACCTTTAAAGTATCCACACAGTGGAAGAGATTAGATAAGGATTTTGGACGCTCCAATAACGTAGTGATGTTTTGTTGTAATTGTGTTAGCTTGTAAAAGTTGGGCTTTCAGAACACGTACACAGCAAAGTTCTGAGGTTTGGCGTTTGGATCGGAAATTACAGCAATCGTTCAAGCTATCATCATTCTATCGAGAATCTGACCAATTTTTACTACCTCTAGGTTGCTTTTCTCGAGGCCATTGACTTTTAGCCATCCCTCAGTTATATTATTTAAAGGAGCTGCTTTAATTTAGGGATCTCACCATTAGAAAAAAGGATAGGAGGTTGGGGAAGGCAAACGCATTAGTAAGAAAAAAGTCTCCACACGCACCATGATCAAAAAAAGCTGTTCGAGGAGGAAAAATAGGTTTCCACCTCAGGGGTAAAGAGAAAACGTTCATAGACCTCCCCACTCCCCAAAATTCAACCCAGCCCCTTTACTTTCCTAATGGTTATTCCCTTATAACGCTCCATGTAACGGAATCCGGAATCTGAAAAAAATTTGCATCTGAAATCGGGAATCCTGGGCTTTGGAGTCCGGAGTACAGCTCAAAGAATCCGGACTCCCACTATCAATTGGAATCGAGAATCCGAGTTCTACTGACAAAGACTGGAATCGAGTACCTGTAATGCAGAATCCGTGACGTGGAATCCAGAACCCCAGGCTATCGTGGATTCTCTTACATGGGGTGAATTATAGGTCAGCTTGCAGAACTACTTCTACTTGATCCCAACACGTTGCACGATACAATGTTTAGTTTCTGATGTTACCTTCAGATAAGTAATGTTGTATTAAACCTGAAGGAAATGAGATGTTTACTGTGATTGTTGATCTCTTCGATGCCTTAAACCATTTTAAATCAACTTCTCCTTGAACTGGAATAATCAATATTTGATTAACAAACCACTCACCCCTCAGAGGCCCTAAGCATTTTCGATTCTAGGATGTTTTTTACACATTTTAAGGCAAGATCTGATTCTGTCATTAAATTATCCCGCTAGGTAAATCGGTTTTCAAGCAAGAAAACCAACTTTCGAGCAGAAGTTCGATGAAAACCATTTGACCTCGTTTCGCCATACAACGTCATAAGAAGCATAAAGGCACCAAAAACTCATTCCATTATATTTTCAAAGAGTACCATGGTAGTGACCCACAACCGTGTCACGGGTCTCTTGGCAGCCAAATGACTCAGTAAAACAAAAACGTGTTCAAACCAATTTTCGACATCCAGGGAGGTACCTTTAACACAGCAAAGGAAATTTTTGTCTACATTTATCAAAACTAGAATTTCATCGTTAATCCAAGCAATCTTGCCGCTTTCAATTGAAGCAGCACCGATCTAGAAAGTGGATCGTCTCATATCGGATAGGTTTCTGTGCAACTCTTCGTCGCAGTGTGAACGGGTAACGGGTATTCGAACCGTGGCGTTAATAAAAGAGTAGGAGGGAGGACTGAAACCCAGAAAAACGGAAGTAAATATTAAGCGGAAGTAGAGGATTGGGAATTATTTCGCCAATCCCTCTCGGCCAACTACTCCAGACTCGTACCTAGTCGCTATTTATTTATCCCCGCGCGCCTCAATCTTCTCTCATCCCAAAAACACATAAATAGTGAATGGGTGCGATTGTATACATTCATAGATTTTCCTCTCCAGGCATGGGCAATGTCAAGTTTAAGTGCACACCTGGTCAATCGTGAAGCATGCAATACTGCAAATATTAATCATATTTCCAAACATGGTCATGTTAACCAGTGCCTATTTTGAACACCTGTTGAATGAGATTTTGTGATATCCGGAATAATCAAAGGTCTAGGTGTTACCAGTCGAGCCGAAGGCTGAGGCTGATAACATTTACCGAGAACTTGATTATTCCAGATATCACAAAAAGCTAATCTAATCACACATTGCTTTGAAGAAAATAACAACACACCGTCGCACGGAACATAGTTTGACATCGCTCTTGGAAATCATGCATTGCCCGCGCAAACTGCAGACAAGTCAGTTATCTGCTAACAGATAATTAACTAATCCGTAGGTTGCGCTTATTTGCAAAATTAACTGTAGGCTCTTAGCCAGTGAGAAGGCACGCAGTAAGTAAAATGTATACTAATTTTATTTACAATATGTATATTAATTTATTTCAAAAAAGATATCTTGCAAACGGACTTGCAAGGAAAACAAAAAATTCATGCACAGAGTTGTTAGTCTCTATAATGAATTAAGGATGGTTGAGGATACGCTGTGGATATAAGCATGGATGGGAAAGACAAACTTCAAAAATTTAGCAAAAAAATTCCAGAGGCAGAAAACATGACGTAGCTAGTCCTTGATTAAATCCCTCGCCAGTAGACGGGTGTGGGGAAGTAGCCTGGTCAAAAGAAGCGAGCCGCAAGGCAGCACAGCACGGGAGGTAACCATGACAACCCGGTGACAGATTACTCCTTAATTTTGGCGCGTAATTTCAGCGTTAATTTATAATTTCACTTGTGAAATTACAAAATTGCCATGGCAACTTTCCGTACATCTAAGTGCCAAGATGGCATAGAAAATTCAAAATGTTATGGATGATGTCAGGGCGGGACATTTAAAGAAGCTTTAGAAAACCTCAACGCACGAAAGAGTACATCAAAAAATATTCTAACAGGTATTTTGTCGCAAAACTTGTGAACTTAAGCCAAATTTTAAGTTCTAAACCTTTTAGTGCGTGGAGTTCTCGATAAGATAAATAAGATATGCCACATAAAATCACTCTTCCTAAGCCAACTTATTCTAAGAATTAGTCAATAGGGCTGTGGATACTGTTGACCACATCTAGTGAGGACGTCACATTTACACCCGGAAGGACAGGGAAGGATGCCACGCTGCACCATTCTCTACAAGAACAAATAAGTAGGAGGGAGGTGTTTCGTCAGTTACGATCATTTACGAACATAGCCTGCAGTGCAGGCGTTTTCTTTGAGCGCGCAATTTGCTCGCGAAAGCGTCATGTTGAAACTTCCCGAAGAGAGGAGGAAATGGGGCGAGTCAAAGGG